AACTTTTTTCTTGCTTTATTCTTTTGGTTATTTTAGCCATTGAGAGCCAATTGGGGCAATTGAAAAATGTGACAATATTTTAAGAATTTGAATCTGCAGAGTTGTGACATTGATTTGGAATATTCTTAGATTAATAAAGTATTATGAGAATGTTTAATAAAATAGATATCAATACTTTGTTATTGAATAGAATGTCTTCTAAACCTGTTAACACTAAGGAAACATTTGGTTTATTTTACACTTTGAAATATAAATGTTTTTTTGGGGGGGGATTTTTAACTTTTAAACTGAAGTTGTTATTAACCTTAAAGAACTTTATATATACTTAATTATCCTGCTAACATTATACATTCTAAACATAAACTTTTTAATGTAAATGCTTGTTAGTGTTAGGACTTTACCTTATCCAGATAGTAGTTTATCATGTTTCACATTGGGACTTTTCAAAGTTTGGTAGCAGAAAGAGTGTCCACTACTAAAGGTAGTACAGACAAGGCTGTCAGGTGCAGGTCTTGCAGGTTGTGCAGAATACATCACCACCCCTGTATGGGGGAATTTATTCACAGATTTGTATTTTATTATGGAAGTTTTTTAGCAAATGGCAATAAAGTGCCTTATTCTAACAAAATCAGTATATTATGTCAAATTTCTGAGAGATGGAAGTAAAGAGTCTTCAGAAAAGATCATTTCCCTCCCCCTCCTAAATTGCACAATGGTACTAGTGGGCTAATGGGAGATTCGTCTTCATGCAGATTATTAGGGCTCTAGCCTAACAATTCTATTAATAATTGAGTAATATTTCAGTGACATTATAAGCATTTAATATGTTACAGGTACTAGTAAAAATTATCTTACTTGGGAAACCTAATTAGAGTCTATAGGTGCTTTATCTGTGACCATTATTATTTATATTTCATAAGTCATCTAATTTACTGTTTATCATTACTGGTATTATTTATGTAGAGAATTTAACTTTCCACTGGTCTGATCAGGCTTAATCTACAAATAACATTCACATTTGTTGTCAATACCTTTTACTTTTTATGATTTTGTGGACATTACTCTTCAGTAAGTCTAGTTATCTAGCTATCACTTAAAACCTGGTGTCTGCCACTAAAGAAAATGTGTATGACTCAATTTATTTTAATATATGTTTTTAATAGAACAGTATACTAATGTATAATTTTTCCTCATTTAGTGATTTTCTTACCTCAAAACTCACTTTATCAGAGTTCAGTCTTATAATTGCTAGATAAGAATGTAACAAAGTATTTTGTATAATGAATAGTGTCCTTTGATTATATTTTAATTTGCATGTTATAACTTGTTTTTAATTAGCTACACGATAATTTGCAAAGCACACAGTTTATAAAGTGCAGAGAGAAAAACTCTACAAAAAACTCTACAAAAGTGATATCTAAAAACATTTAACAATTTTGACCTTTCTCCTATTAAAGAGGAAACTTCCGCTGATGTTTAACAGATTTTGTGCTGTGGTACATACTTAGCTATTTTGAATTACAAAGCTAAAAGGTGTAAATAGCCTTGAAAAAAATACATTTCTAACCTGAATTGAATTAATGATTATCTTGGCTAGATAGAAATTCTTTTACCTCTTTAGTCATTCTGTAGTAAGGTACTCAGTATAAATAATGTATTTGTAAATGTTTTGCCATTGAGACTTTTAAAGTTTTTCTAATTTTGCATGTAACTTAAGTTGCCCATGAAATCTGTGCAATGTCATTGAACCACAAAAATGTGGAACTAAGCAATGCAATATAATTATATTGTTTATATTTATTATTTACAACATTCAAAACTATGGTTTGTGTTCGTGTTTGTTTGTTTTTTTTTTAATCTTAGAGGAAGAGATGGGGAAAGAGAAACATCAATTGGTTGCCTCCCATACATGTCCTGACCAGGAATCGAACCTGCCATCTTTTGGTGTACAGGAATGATGCTCCAACCATCTGAGCCACACTGGCCAGGGCTCTTTTTTTTTTTTTTAACGGAATATATAAAGAATCCTATATAATAAAAGGCTAGTATGCAAATCAACCAAACAGCGTAATGACCAGTCGCTATGATGTGCACTGACCACCAGGGGGCAGACACTCAAGCAGGAGCTGCCCCCTGGTGGTCAGTGCGCTCCCACAGGGGG